TATAACAAGCCACACAACAGATATTTGATGCATTCAACACTTTTTCTTTTTTTAAAAAGTTTACCCATCCCTAGTGGATTTTAGCCCTACTGAAATAGTTCAGTATTTGCTTAGCTGAACATGTATGCAGCATGGGGTCTGGGCTTGCACGGAAGCTTACCAAAGTATTTGTAAAGGCCTTGTAGATATTTGTATCTGTAAATAGCAATCCATAATTGCACTGTTGGGTATGGTTGGAGAGGCAAGGCTACATAGCAGGCCCTACAAAGGATGAATGCCTAAACAGGGCTTTAATTCTTGGCAATCTACAGACGCAAAGGCTTTCTTATGTTACTATGTGTAAAAATGTTAAGGTTTTTAGACAGTTTTTTCTACCACATGTTCTAGGAATGATTTCACATCAATCCTTTGGTGAAATCTTTTGGTGAAATTCCATTGTGCAGCTCAGTTTTTCCAGCTTTGGGTAGCATATTTCTGTACGCAATCTGGATATCAGTATGAATTCTGGCAGATTCTCGTTAAATGTTAGTTAATCCAATTCTGTTATTGTTATGTGTCATCAAGTTACCTCCAGCTTACACCGACCCTATGAAATAAATATATGCCTGAAATATATCCTCCACCATGGCTCCACTGACTCAGCAGGCGGGTTATCACGTGCAATCACCTTTATTTTAATAATAAGCAGCTGGCCAAAGAGCACTTTCCTGAGGGCATCTGCTTTGGGAGGGGGCTATAACTTGGATGTTCCAAATCCAGTCTTTGCCAGACTTGGAGGGGGTTTGGGAGAAGAGTCAGCTCAAAAATCAGTCCAAGTTTGGAAAAGATTGGATTTGGGATATCCAAATTATAGCCCGCCTACAAGCCACCAAAGCTGATAATAGTTCCATGTTGCATTTCATTCTGGGCAGGCGCGTTTTCCTGAAGTGCCCCGAAACAAATCACCAAACAGCCTGATTGGGGGGGGGGGGTTGTATCATGATTCTTTTCATGCCCATCTCTACTTCTGAATCATGGTGACTCTCGCAGTGTTGCTGAGGTATATGAAATATTCAAGGAGTAGTTTACAATTTCTACCCCCAGTTAACTTCTATAGCCAAGCAGGAATTTGAAACCACATCTCCTGAGTCTCAGTCACGTGGTCTATCCATTACACTGTGCTGGCTATCCAATGTGTCAGTGTATAAAATTTACAGGCCTGAGCAGAACAAATGTCCTAATGAGCAGCCATGATGTTCAGGTGTGTCAAAATGCTGAGTCACTGTGACTCAGGAGGGCTGGCTCAAAGATGATTCAACATCTGTGCTGATTGGACACAGCCAGATGCATAAGTATATATATGTGGACTGTGCAGAGAAGATGTATTCCTACTCTTCTGATGAATTCATGGTGTCATGCTGTCGCTCAGTATATCTGTAAATATCCTGTAAATACACATCTGGTGGTGGAAGAAGCTGATCGTGTCTGTGTGAGTCATTTTGCCACAAGGACCTTGAGGTTGCTCTGCAAAAACTTTTCTGCGTGTTCACGCACTAACCCAATGGTATATTACTACTTAACACATCACTATTGGATTTGATCACAGTTTCCCAAAAGAAATTTATTTTTTTAAAGAAGATTGGAAAGGATGTAACACATATACATGGTTGTGAATTACATCTCTAGCATTTATCCAACTGTGTTTTTGAAAAATAGATAAGTGCTAATTTATGAAGTGTATCACTGAAAGAATATTTTATAAACATTCTCTCTATAACTTGTTGAAGTTAATTTTGAATTGGCATTTCTCCAAATCCAGCTCCATTCTGTTACTCAAATTCCATTGCAAGTCATTTCCCCATTTCCTCATATACTTTAGGGAGTGGTGTCTACATTGAATAACAGTGAACAAATCTTACTGATCACTCCCCCAAACATATGATTTTCAGTTATTTTTATTCAAACACTGTATTTGACCTCAACACTCTAATTTGGAACAGTTGGTGCATATTCACCCCAACCTATTTGTAATTTCCTCATAGATCTGCTGGTTAACTATTAATCTTTCCAATATATTCAATTTTTCATTTCTCCAAATAATAAAATTACTAAAAGAAGACATGTCTTGGATATGGTCATAATACAGAACATACATTTTAAGAGAGATTTCACAAAAGTTTTGCTTCATACAATTCTGATTATACAGAGCCAGTTACCACATTGTCCAATTTGAATCAACGTTTATAAAACTAAATCAAATCCTTCAGCTTTAGACTTTTACTCAAAGCAAATTTTATTTCTGATAAATTTATGTCCTTTAGACAGCACTCAATTTTTATAAGTTTAACTCCTATGTGATATTATTGAATATTTTGTAACCGTTAGCCATCTCTGCAAGCAATGTATGCCACTCATTATATTTTTTTTCCCAGAGAAAAACAGGCAGATCTATTCTAAGCAATGAATTTCTAAATAATAACAATATTTTTGGCAGCACATCCTTTTTTTAACAGGCATTTTTTCCTAACCAAGACACTGGTAGTGTTTTTCAATATGTCCATCCTTCTTTTATCTCTGTAATTTGTTATGACTGCATTAGATCATGACACTGAGATCCTGCTGTACCCAGATATCTATCATTTCTGGCCGTCATTTTTCGGACCTCTCTCGGGGTCAAAACTCTCAATTGTCTGGTCTGGGAGGATCTTACAGGAGAGGCACATCTGATTGGAAGGATGCGTTCTGCCAGATATTGAGATCTTAAACTGTTTAGGGCCGTTAACATCATCACCTTGAAGCTGGTGTGGAAGTGAACAAGCAGCCAGTGCACGGTGGCCAGAGTGGGGAAAATGTGTTGGTGTCTCCTTACTCCACGCAACAATCTGGCCACCAAGTTCTGGACCCGCTGGAGTTTCCATAACAGCCTCAAGGGCAGCTCCACATAGAGAGCATTGCAGTAGTCTAATCTCAAGACTACCAGTGCATGAACCAGTGTGGTGAGGGACCTGGTGTCAAGGCAGGGATGCAACTGGGCAATCTGCCTTAGCTGGAAAAAGGCAGAACATACCACAGACGCTATTTGGGATTCCATTGACCACACAGGGTCCAGCAGTATGCCCAAGCTGTTCACCCCATCCTTTGCTGAAAGAGTAGCACCCTGAAAAGAGAAGGAAGAACCCAGACTGCATACACTAGGGACACCCGCCCACAGGATTTCCATCTTGCCTGGGTTCAGCCTCAGTCTATTATCCCTCATCCACCCCAGCATGGTGTCCAGGCAGCACTCAAGTGACGGAACAGCATCCTCTGCAGAAGGATGGAAGGAGAGATAGAGCTGGGTGTTGTCCATGTACTGGTGACATGAAGCTCCAAAACTCCTGATGACCTTGCCCCAGCAACCTCTTATAGTTATTAAATAGCACTGGGGAGATAATTGACCCCTGCAGGACTCCACAACTGAGAGTCCATGGAGTGGACAGCAAGCTGTACTCTCTGAGCATGGTCCTCCAGGAAGCACTGGAGCCAGGCCAAGGCCTGAGCTCCAATCCCCAAGCCAGAGAGCTTCCCCAGGAGGATACCATGATCAATAGTATCAAAAGTCACTGACAGGTCGCGGAGGACCAACAAGGATGCTTTGCCCTTATCAGCCTACTTCAGAAGGTCACCTTGCAGGGCGACCAATGCCATCTCTATACCATGATGCGGTCTGAACCTGGACTGGAATGGGTCGAGGGAGTTGGTTTCCTCCAGAAGTGAAGTTGGTCAGTCACCACTCTCTCCATTAGCTTGCTAATAAAAGGGACATTGGCAATGGGTCGATAGTCATTACTATTATCCGCTGCCAAATTGGGCTTTTTATGGATTGGTTTAATAAGTGTCTCTTTGAGGGCAAGGGGAACCCTGCTCTTAAGGGAACCCATTGATAATAGTCACTGGTCACTCTGTTGTTAAAGGTCTGGCCGCTTTCAAGAGCCAGGCCGGGCAAGGGTTTAGTGAAGAGGTGGTGACCCTGAAACAATCAAGCACTCTGTCAACATTGTTTGCATAAAGAAAGGACTTTGAGATTTGGTTATGAAAATGAAAACCAAGGATTCCAGTATTATATCAGATAATAATTGCAAAGGGATCAATAGCTTCAGCTAACTTACTCTGTTTTCTGATTCCACAGTGATATAAACAATAATATTTAATCCAAATCCTGTTGTATGAACAATGTAGGCAGCAACTCTAAACTTTGCAGTTGAAATCTCAACATAGCCCACTCTCTCAACTGCTTAGGAAAGTCCTTGGGATTTGAGCATAAAGTAGATAATTGATCCAAATGCTACTGGGACCATGAACTCGTCAAACTACCTAATTCATCTCTTCATCCAGTCCACAGCCAGTTCTAAAACTAAGTGACATGCTGTACATCTCACAGGGCTGCCATCAGAGTCAGCCCAAGTCAGATACCTCCACAGCAGGTTTTGAGGAAACATGGAAGAGGGATGGATACATCCGGTACTACATGAAAAAGTGGAATAACCTCACTGGATCTCACCCTTTCCACACACTGGAAAATAGCCATATTTCTACTCTTCGCAGATGAAGCCATGAAGAATCTCTACTACACCAACTCCCAAAGCTATGTGCAAGACTACATTTCAGAGCCAAACTGCTCCAGAAATGATATACTATTTTCATTAGTAAAGGTGTGTGCTTTCCTTTAACTGCCTACAATTGGCACAGAGGCGTATTGTTTTAAAGACAAGCCTCCAACCAATTGCCTATAACTAACTGTCTTAAAGAAAACAATTTTCTTTTCCAATTGCTCCTGCTTTCATAGATACGACAGAAAAGACATTCCCTCTGCCATTTCCTATATACACTGGGCTGATTTAACGTTGAATCCAAAAACATTTGGAGAGATTTATTTGAGGCAATAAACATACCAGGAGGCATTTTTACCTACCACAGAAGAGAATGATCTTCTAATTTTAAAAATATGCAGCAAAATAACATCCCCAGCTTTTATTAGCTACCTGGAATGCATATTCTGTCCTGGGTAGAAACAGGTGTTCTTTGTTGTCTTTTTCAAGAGTTATTGGTCCAGCAATCCCTTCATCTCCGTATATCCATACAGTGACATTTGTCTGGGTTTTTGAATCTCCTGTCAGTACTGATACTTCCCATTTATTATCTGAAGAGGGAAAAAGAACAACCATTTTGGATCGTTCTTGTTTTCTCTGGAAAGGCCAGAATGTCAATAGTAGATCAAGATTGTCATGCATCTACTGGCATTGTGCAGAAAGCACAAGAAGAAAGACTGATTTGGATAATGCTGAATGTCCAGATCATGGCACCCAGAATAATTAGTGAGCAAAACATGGGATAGGACAGCAAAAGGCCCGTGAAGATATCACAGTTTCCTTGCAGACGTTGTTCTCAATCAGTCCTTGTACTTTAGACTATCAACTATCATGTGAATTGCTGAGGTTCAGGAACACACCAACTGTACAGAATGATTTTGGCACCATCCCCAAATAGCTCAAAAACAGGGTCTGCTGGGTGCAGTCAGGGCTTCCTCCCACAAGGCAAGAGGAATCCACCTCAGGTGCCAAACCGAAAGAGCAGCAGACTGCATGCTTCGCCTACTCCGAGATGGTTGTGGTTGCTGCCAGGCTTGGTTGAATGTCTTATTTTAAAGACGCCTGAGAACATGGCATCAGGCCATGTGGATACTCTGAAAACTCCCACTAGCTGCTATTTTGCTGTGGCAAGTACTGATGCACGGAAGTACCTGACTCAGCCTCCCCCAGCAGTATCATCTTTGCCCTGTGTTTCTTTCTGAAGGCTTTTCAGGGTGCTGCACAGGGTGGGTTGTCTGCTCTGGAGAGCCTAAATTATGCAGCACGAACACATGATTCTTCAGGTGCTTTGCTCTGAGGAGTCTCAGAATGAGCCATAGGTCCACACACTCAAACAGCAGCTGGCACCACTGGAGTGGACAGCTGGCTGATGCTTCATTATGAAGACATCTTAGAATGAGGAACCAAGCGGGTGCGCCCTGGCTGTTTTCTTGCTGTGGCAAATTCCACAACAGAAAAGTGGCAGTTACAGCTGGACAAAGGAACCTGCCCTGCCCCAAAATTTCATTCTGACAGAGCCTTTTCCTCAGACATTTCGGTCAAGATAGCCTTGGAGACCTCAGAACCATTCAGAGTTATTTTTTAAAAAAGCTGTCGGTAAAATCACAATAATAACAAATTAAGCTATTAACAATTTCTTGTTCTTTCATGACAGTAAAAATCTGCTTCCAGGGGGGTCTGCCTCATTTCTGAGATGGAAGCTTGGAAATAAATACCTCTTAAAGACTAAAACATGGCTGTAAACATTAAACGTGGACACTGAAAAATACACAGAAATAGAAGTCAAGTAGCCGCTGGGCTCAAGTCAAGAATGCCATCACCTAATTGATGTGCATTGAGAAACATGATATCTGAACCCTGACATCTGAAACCTGAACATTAAACAAAGGACAGAGGAGGTCAGTAAATACTGCCATAGCTGTTCTTTGCTTTAAAACCTGTGCATACTAATGATGAATTGCCTGAATCATTTGCTTCTCAGAGAAGGGGTGCATGCATGTGAAGTTTCTTATTCAGAATCTGTTGGTGTCAAGAGTAGCAAATTAAACTGATGGCGATCTTGTGAAAGGTGCTATTGCAAACTGAGTAGGGAGGAATGGAAAGCAGAAGCTCCCAGAGTATTATTCCACCTCATGTGTGATGGTATTTCCACTGGTAGAACAATTACTTTTCTACTTTCACAGAAAGGTGAGGAACTTTAGGCGCTATTTTAAGATTTACAAAGTGGAAGCCTTAGTTCAGAGGGGAAAGCTGGCTACTCCATACATGGTTTCAATTGTGCCAGTATAACGTGTGAATCCTGCTCTCTTCCAATTAACACAATGGCTTTGGTACTGTGAGAGCCAGAGGTTGGGAGTTCAATTCTCTATTGTCCCTCCTGTGAGTACAGCCAGTCTGTGTAGCCTCCGGCAAGTTGCACAATCTCAAGACACTCCCAGAAGAAGGGAATGGTAAATCACTTCTCTGCCTAGAAAACCCTGAAAAAGGGTCACCATAAGTGAGAACTGACTTGATAGCACATTATTATGCTAAGATTCAACATACGAAATTTATATGATTGTCCTGTGTGTCTGTCATCTTACTTTTCTTTCAAGCATATACATCAGCAATTCTAAAATATGGCTTCCAAGATTCAAAATGTCTAAGGAATGGCTGGGTCAGATCAGAGTGGTACCATTAAGATGGCCAACTGAAGCAACCAGAATGTTGTAATAGTTGATTTATTTACAACTCATTGGTCCTACCTGAGACAGGAGAATCTTGTTGTCTGTGGCTTACTAAATTCTGAGTTCCCGCTTCTTGATGTTTGGAATCTCCGATTACTTCTTTCTGCTGTGCAGCAGTTGCTGACGTTCCCATAGGTTTTTCTCTGCCAACTGAAATTTAATTACAAAAAAGATTATAGGTCTTCACTTTCTTATTTCCCTAGAAATCTTACATACACTTCACCAAACTTTCTGTTTTTTCACCTAGATATTCTCTTCTTTTTCTAATGAATGGTATAGCTATATTACTTGAATATCCACTTAGAAACTCATTGCTCCTTAACATCTCCCCAACACAAAAAGGATTAGTAATAAATTCCTATCTTTATTTGGAAAATCAAAATTATTATTATATATACATCGAGGGTATTATCCTTCTGGAATTTTTCTTTATCTTATCACTAATTTCTTGTATGTTCTTCATTTTTTAAAACAGAAACATTGTCTGAATTCTATATCGACCAAAACTAAATGTGTGCACAGTTCACTAAGCAATGTATTCTGTTGACACTCTGACTAACAGGAAAGTGGCCTTTAATGAAGAAGCAATATTACTACCATATTGTTGTTCAAAAAACCTTCAGTTAATGGAAGTGAGATATTGTGCTTCTTTATCTATGATTCAAAATGCTAGGAAATGCCCCGATATTACTTCACAATATCATGCCTACATTGCCAGCAGGAAAAAGGATGCCAAGCTTTACAGAGCAACGAGCAGTCTGCCTGTTGACCTATGGCAGCAGTCAAGATGGTCTACAGCAGTAGTCCCCAACCTTGGGTCTCCAGATGTTCTTGGACTACAACTCCCAGAAGCTTTCACCACCACCTCTGCTGGCCAGGATTTCTGGGAGTTGAAGTCCAAGAACATCTGGAGGCCCAAGGTTGGGGACCACTGGTCTACAAGATATCCTATTGTGTGCTCACTGCCATTCACACTTGTCAAAAAACAGCTGTGACAATCACTGGAAAAGTGGTTAACTGATGAAGAAAGGGATCAGCTTCTGGGATGTTCCCTTGCTTGATGTCACTTTGTGAATGGCAGTAGTCTTTTTGAAGACTTGTGTCAGGGGCCTGGTCTCAGAAATCCTGAAAGAATGTTTACTAAAAGCATTCAGGGCTGGGACAAACACAACACTGTGCTTTTGTAATGCAGAAATGCTTTGCAATTAGCATTACAAAATGTATGCTAATTCCCTTGAGATACAAGGAGAAATGTCCCTTTCTAGAAGATTGTCACTTCATTACTTTCTTTAAAACAAGACTGGAGGGTTTTTTGTCTATCACAAAAAAAATCTATCTTTTAACTGTTTCTGTGACCTTTCATTGCCCCCCCCCAAATCTTCTTTCCAGGTTCACGAGGTTGCAACAATATATCTACTTTGCAAAGCTCTTGCTGTTTATACACATGCTCAGATGTTTCAAAAATGCCTTTTGAAATGTCTTTTTTCAGGACCAATATTTCAGTCCCTATGGCCTGGATTCTTTCCAAATTAAAAAAAGTAAGTATGACAAACCATTGTCTTCCATGATAAGCAAGACAGGCCTTTTCAATTTATATGAGCTATTTTAAATCTGGGTTGTTTATGATCAGTTGTTTTTGCATGGGGGAATTTTAAAACAATTTTAGTTTTTAAAAAATCTTAATTTGAGAATCCTTTGCCCGAATATCCACAAACGTAGCATAGAGCAAGATCCAAATGTCTGCTACATCTGCACAGTGTTTGTTTAGACAATTGAAACTAATAACTAGTGTATAAGAAAGTCAGAGTATTTTCACCTTTGAAATTGCTTTTTTCAGATTCACTATTATAGCCCCTGGAGCCTGGATTCCTTCCAAATAAAAGAAGTGGCTCAGCATAATAGTTCTCTTTCAAAATAAGGATGTTTGGTCTTTTCAATGTATTTGTTCTGTTTTAAATCTGCAGACTGGCAGCGTCTGCATGGGAGGGGGGACAGTTTTACATTTAAAAAATCATAACTCGAAAACCCTTTGCCCTTAAACTGAGCACAGATCAAGATCACATTTTCAGCTACATCTGCTGCATCTGATACAGTTTCAAACTTATAGTTTTTGTTTCAGCTGCCATAATTTTTAGAATTACCTTGTAGAATATTAATTTGCTCTTCAGCAAAATAAAATGCTTAACAACAACAACAACAACAACAACAACAATAATGTTATTCACACAGTACTATAAGCAGTTGAAGATCTCAGAATCATACCATCAGAGGTACAAAAGCAGCAATATTAGTAACAGCATACATACTGCACTGACATTTAACAGGAACTTAGGTTTTTGGTTAAACTCTCTATCTGTTATATAATACCAGTTAATGTTTTTATAATTTTGACTGTGCCTAGTGTTTTTGAATCATTGTCGTCGTCATCATCCCCTCCATGGGCACATTAGAAGAATTGGATCAGAAAACACAGAAACTAATGAACTACATACAAAAAGTGATGTGGATACTTTATATTTACCACAAATAATTGGAGGCCATGGAGGTATAGCAGATAGGAGAGGAGGAAAATACAGCAGGTAGTAGAGGAGGAAAAAAAGAAGCCTAAATGATTATATCAGTACAAGCAGAGAAAAATTACTTGAGGCTGTGAAAATGGAGAATATTTTGAAAACAGCTGAAACAAAGGCTCAATATAAGAAACAATTTAAAAATAAATCAAACAGCTGGAAAAATAAACCACTACATGGACAACACCTGAGAAATATAGATGGAAAGCATGATCATAATTCAACATGGGCATGGCAAAAATTGGGATCCCTTAAGAAAGAAACCAAAGGCTTGATTTTTGCTGCACCAGAACAAGCACTCCAAACCAATGTGATGAAAGCTAAGATCCAAGGAATTAGTGCTAACAGCAAATGACAACTCTGCCAAATAAGCAGTTACAGATCTCAGAAATAACACAATTAGAGCCACAAAAAACGGCAATATTAGGAACAGCATTGGACATTTAATAATTTAAAAATGAATCACAATAATTCTTAAAAATCGCTGATTCATTAAATATTCATCCTTTCATATTTGTCAGTTCCAGAGACATTGGTGAATACAAAGGGATGAATATTCCCCATGTTTATTCATCCCCCATAGGAAGAGAGGGAAAGCTAGCCTTCCCTCTTTTCCTATGGCCTTCCCACTCTCCATATGGCCTGCCAATCAGCTGATCGGCAGACCACTAGGCAGCCAACCAGCCCCACAGCTACCCACCCCCATTGCCTATCTCTTGGGCCCTTCCTCTCCTTATCTTAGCCGCTGCCACCATCTGCTACTGCCTGGTGCCACAGTCATTCATTGCT